ATTATATTTATTTGGCAGTAAGAGTTAAATAAATCTTTCGGAGAATTTTATGATAATGGGAACATTTTTAATAAGAATGGATATTAAAATATATAGTAAGTAATAATGATAAATTCGTAATTTGTCCTATATTAATGCTTCTTGTAAATCATTCTTTAATTTTCAGATATACCATCTAAATGTTTATGTAATGGACTGTTTTATTATATCAATGCTTTGTATTGATAGCAAGTAAAATAATACTGAATTAATTTCTAGTTAAAAAATATTTTTTATAATTATACATGTATTAGATCACGGATTCAAGATGATTTCGTATTCTAGTTATGCGTAATTTTTAAATTGTTTGAATGACTGATAGTGTTTTTAAGTATGTGCGAATTTTTCAAGTACGTGAATAGATGCAATATATTTTTGATCATAATTAAGCACGGAATTATAAGTTTTTAAACGACATTGTTCGATCAAGCATTTGACATTTGAAATTTCGAATAAATTTTTAAATCGAAATTTTTTAAATGCGGTATTTGTATATATACATATATAAGTATATATATATAAATATTTAACAAAGAAATATTTTACTTTGTTTTTTGTAATTAATTTGATCGAAAAATGTTAAATTTTATATTTTTTGCAACAGTTATAATCAGGCTAAAATCATGACTTATACAATTACGAGTACCTAATTAATTGGCATAGCATTTAAATATTATTAAATTAATTTTAATTATATGTTTGTTTATAATAATTTAAGCTTATTGCATTTAATAATAAACTAATATCTATTTTTTATTTACATTTGTGGAAAAATTCAAATATAACAAATAAATATTGCATTTAATAATAAATAAGCTAGACAAATATATTTTTGAAAATTTGCTTGTTTTAACATTTAATAAAATAATACATAATAATAATAACAATATACAAAGTATATATTCATATAATATGTAATAATATACTATATATAACATTACTTACATACATAATATATATTTTTTCATTTATAAATTTTATTTCACAGGATTTATTTCACTCGATTGGAAAGATAAATTACTACATATGCATAAATGATACAATTATTTTATTAATCAATATATATATAAACATATATAAATAGATGTGTGTGTGTGTGTGTGTGTGTGTGTGTGTGTGTACGCGCGTGAGCGAGCATGGGAGCATGCCTGCGTGTATGCATATCTATAAATATAATTATTATGTAAAGGGAATAGTTTTAAATGTTAGTATGGATATACGGTATAAAAAGATAACATTTGTAATTAAAAATACGGAACGGTGACTTCTTAATATATTCCTTGGTAACAGAAAAACATAAATGGAGAATATTTGTTGACAGTAAACCGTGAAACTTTGACAAAAAAATGATTACGAAACAAGCGCGAAAAATGGACCAATTACCTCAAACCAGTTACATAAATCAATATCTAACTAAATATAGTCTCTTATATAGTTGTTTATATAAAAAAAAATTAAAAAAAATAGAGGCGAGGTCAGACTAAAGGTGTGCCAACTTTAAATATCATCTTTCATTAGCACTCTTTTTATACTCTTTCGCTCAACATATTGAGAATTAAAGGAAAACTTTACCTTCGTTACATACACCTCATAATGAAAAGAACTATTTAACAAATATATATTGTGTTTTCTGTTTTAAGAATTGCTAGCAAACTCTAAGTAATAATACTGATAAGATATGTTTTAAAAAATAAAATAAAAGTAAGAAGACTATTATAACAAAGTAAAAATTTTCTTTATTAATAAATGATTTTCATGAGAAATTCGCAGTCATTATTAATTTTGTTTACTATTATTATTACTGTTATTATCATTATTATTATAATTATCATTATTATTATCATTATCATTATCATTATCATTATTATTATTCATTATTATCATCATTATTATTATTATCATTATCATTATTCATTATTATTATTATTATTATTATTAGCTCGAGTGAGAATCTTTTTGTTCAATTGAACATAAGTTTCATTGACATCTTTCATTTGTTAATATTAGACTTTCTTCTTTGGGGCCAACTGCTACATTTTTATTACAATGTTCCCAGCTGTAAGAACGTGAAATGTATATTAGGTTTAATTATTATAACGAGGAAGTATTAAGTTATCCATTTCATACCTATTTCCTTTTCGATCTTCAACCAGAATTTTATCCAAGATAATAACTTCTACGTAGGAAAACTCGGATCTATCGTCGGGTATTATTATTTCAAACTTCATTATCGCTTGTATAGTGCTGCTATTTACTGAAAATGTGTCAAATGCAGCGGCTTTAATGTCATAAAATGTGGGCTGTGCACTATTCCGATTATTCAAACTTGACAGAGGCGGTATAATTACTTGACTGGAAATAATAATAAATACGAAGAGAAATTAAACGTTAATCTTCCAGCTTTCTCGATTGACGAAGACGCTTTCTACGAATAGTTATGAAAATTGCAATACAACAATGTCGATAAATGCATCTTTCATTTTCAGAAAATTTTGAATAAATATAGGTAAGATCTTTAATATGCCCAACTAGCAAGAGGAATATCATTAATTATGTGATGTTATTATTATATCATTATTATATAATACTAACTCGCAAATAATACTAAAGACCATTTCAGCATTTCCATTTATTACTCTCATCCACAAAATGCCCTTTGGTATAAACTCATTGTCCGATAATTTTACGGCCGCTCTAAGAGGATATCCACAATACGGTGGCTCAGCTCTTGTTGTCAAATAATACAATCCAGTAGGTCCTTGATCCGCCGCGTATCCCATTTCAGGCGCCGCAATAATATCTTCCTGAGGAAAGCATGTACCTGCAGCGTAACTACCGAAGCGACGTTTACACGGCCAACTTTGAAACTTGCACTTCCCTAACTGACTTTGCAGACTTTCTACAAATAAGAACCAGGAGCGCGTGTGACTGCAGGCTATGTGAATGTCTAAGCTATCCTCTGTAAAATATCTAACATTAATTATTCATGAATATTAACAGCTAACAATCAAGTTTCTTGTAATTATTTATCGTTCATCGAATAATAATAAATAACAACACCAACTACAATAACAACAATAATAATAACGATAATAATAACAATAATAATAATTACGACGACGACGACGACGACGACGAGGACAATAATAGTAATAGTTATAGCTATAGTAGCAATTTTAAAAAGTAGTATTAAAAATTCATTCTTATTACTTCAAAATACTGCACTTATTATCGGCTTAAGTAATCATTGTGGCGGTTAAGTTATAAACGTTGAAAGATTCTGAATAAAGGAATGTACTAACCATTTAAATGCGAAACTACCACCGAGTTCTTTACATCGTTACATCCAGGCTGCTGTCTCCCACCGTTTGGGAAAAAATCTATGTGCCCAATGGGTTTCAGTAAACCAAAACCATCGGCGAAATCGATCGAGCCGTCGCTGTGTATCACATCGACGAGTCTCGCATCCGATGAGTCCAACTTCCTCGATTTCTCTCTGAACAAATGATGCCGAAAGAAAGGCGAGGCTGGATCCAATCCAGTTATACGGCCAAGTAAAATATTACGTTTCTTCAGCATCTCCGAGGCACAACCAGCTACGTGAGCACCGAGACTGAAGCCCACGAGGTGCACGTCGTCAGGATCGACGCCGAATTCTATAGCGTCGAGTAAAATGAGACTTAATTGACGACCAACGAGCTCTGTATTTGAGACAGCGAGACTGTAAGTTGTGCCAGCTCCTTTGGCCCAGTCGACCACTACTACATTGACATCATCCTACAATCGTGAATTTTCATTCATCATAGTATCATTTTCCACTCGAGTCTGCTTCCGTCGAGCTCAAACGGACAGCATTATCAAGCTCATTTTAATCGCAAGTACCTTGATAATCGCATTTATCTGCGTTCATATTTAATTTAACGCGCAAGTTTATTGCGTTTGAAGCTTATCGATAAGCAATGAGTATCGACCAACCCATAAGAAATATAATATAATAGAATCTTAAGACTTATACGTTCATCCTTTAAATCGAGCTCATTATCAACGCGTTGACTTTAATCTTATAACAAATTGTATATTACAATCGATTTTATCATTTTAATATAATCATAATGCACGCTTGCAATACATTATTTAAGGATTTGGAAAGCAGAATTAACTAAACTCACCAAATCGAGAAAAGCTTGAGCACCAGCAATGGCTCCCTCATTGTTACCACTACCCTTATAACCGTGTATGATAACTTTAAGTTTCTTTTGTGCATGAAAATTTGATTGATTCATTGACTGCAGCTTATCACCGTATTCGATTAAGCTGGGTTTTTCTCGATTTTCTCTTGTATATAGATGAAATTGTGTACTTATTATACTCGGATCTTGTGGTGGCCGCTTTAATGCGAGTGGCTGTTTACGATTTGCAAAACATCCTAATAAGTCTGTGCATAAAAATCAATATATTTTAACGAATTGAGCTGCAATATAAATGGCAAAATACACGAGTAAAGAATCGAAAAAAAAAAATTAATCTTCTGGATAACTGTAACGAGTTAGCTCTTAGTTTTGTTTTATAGTTTTTTTTTTTTTTTTTTTTTTATATTTATATATTAATAGATAATAGGGTAGTAACTAATTATATTCATAATGTGAAAATAGCAACCGAGACGTATAATCCTTTAAAGTATATCACTGAATTTATACTATTTTATTATTCTTAAAAATCCATAAAAATCTTAACTATCTAATAAAATTTTTATAAAAAGAATAAATGCATGAAAAAAAAATTCAATTATAGTTTAGTATTATAATATTACAATGATTTATTAAAAAGAAAGTATAAATATTCATTATATATAAAATATAAAATTCATTCAAATAATTTCAAGTAATATTTTCATCTTACCAAAACATATTTTATGTCCGACCTCGTCGCGATTACTTAATCGTCGATGCATCAGTAGAATGCGATTTCTCTTTTCTGATATTCCTGTTGAAAATGAATTATTATTTTTATGATTTTGTTACTTTGCCTACTTATGCATATCGAGAATAGTTTTCATGTACTTTCGTCCATCAAATATAGAACAACATTTGTCGAAATTTTATTGAAATATTATTTCTAAATTTCCATTCAAGTTTTCATTTAAATAGATAAATTTTGATAAAATACATTAAATATATATTGTCGAAGATTTATTTATTTATCATATTTGTACAATGACAAATAATCTTCAAATAATAAAAATAAATTATTCTAAAATATTAAAATTTTAATAAAGAAAAATTTATTGCTACGATCAAATATTAAAAAATTGTTGATTTGGAATATTAATTTTAAGTATAAATCGAAAGTTATTTCGAAAAGCCTGATTTTAAGAAATTAATGCAGTTCTGAGAAAATAAAAATAAAAAAAAAAAAAACATAAAAAATACATAAAATTACCGTTGTTACGAACACCGCTAACCGTCAGGAGAATGGTGACGAAGATAAATAATTTATACATGGTCACCCTTGATCCAAATATATCAATCTTTTAATTTCTTTTCTCTTCTTTTCTGTTCTTTCTTTTCTTTCTTTTTTTTCTGTTAATGACTGCTCTTGATTCTCGTTTTTTGTAGTTTTAATTAAAACGTTTGTTGCAAAACAACTGTAAGAACGAGAATTTAAAATTTATTTTCTCTTTGCAATTTTTTTTTTTTTTTTTTTTTTTTTTTTTTTTTTTTTTTTTTTTTTGATACGCCGATAAATTACTTTGCTGTTTTCTTTGTTGTTTTTTTTTTATTTTTAAATACTTATTATGAATTAATAGGAACAGCTCTCTCTCTCTCTCTCTCTCTCTCACACACACACTCTTCTTGAATTTAAGAAATTTTTATTTTAATAAAGTAATGGAATTATGTTAAAATTTTATGGAATAATAAGTGTCAAATATAATGAGATTAAAATAACCTAATTATTTATTATCTATAAAAACACATATATTTATGCAACGTATATATGTTTATGGAATTGTACGGAATAATTTTATTTTACTTGAAAATAAATTTATAATAAATAGTAAGTACGAAAATTCATCAGAAAGAATAAAAAAAGTAATTATTTGTCAAAATCAATAAAATGATTAAGGATTAGATATTCACACGTTCGTATGTTCGGTAACATATGAGATAATTAATAAATAAAAACAACTAGTTATTTGTAAAAATGATCATTTACAACAAGAGAAATTATTCAATAATTCTGCTAGATAAATGAAAAAGATTTAATTTTCCATAGAAAAAAAATATATAAAACAACTATTATTTATATTTCGTATGTAATATTTATTCATGCATATCCTCGTATAGAGGAATGATGTTTTCAAAAAAGGAATTTAAGCGGCGAAAATTAATGTGAAAAAGTAATATTTATTTGATTAGATAATAATCGTGCAATGCAAAATTCTTTACAAACAGTGCAATAATTATTCGTAGAATATTCAGTAGAAATAAATGCTCATAACATAGACTATTTTGAGATAAATTTTTACTCAAATTCTCACCTAAATAATGTATTCATTAAAATACTTTAATAAATACCATTTCACCAATTCTCGTGAAACAGAAGAAAATTGTTTAACTGAACACTTTTTCTTTCACAGATCGAGCCGATGTACTTCATTGTTTTGCCTTCAAAGACTTTTCGTACTCGCATCTTCTTGCACGCATGAAATAGTACTTACGGTTAACCATAATCACATACAACTGCAGGTAGTTGTGCAATTTAGCCTTTCGAGAGTTCCGAGAGTCCGCATATAAAGAGGAATTCAGTGGCGGCGCCACAACTTTGCTGTGGTCGTCTATATACGTCTCTCCGATAACTTTCACGAGTTTTTAAGCCGACCCTGGATGGACGAAGGTAGATCGGTTATGTGCATATAATCGATCAGACAGCGAGTGATGACACGAATATACAATATTTCGGATCTTTATATACATAAATTCAATTATGCACTTTAATTGCACTTTCAGATTGCATGGAATTAAAGTTTCATTATCTGCTTTGATTTATTACACTATACGAATGTTAAGTATTAAATTTATTATATATTATTATTATAAAATTAATATATATATATATATATATATATATATATATATATTATGTGTAATATAATATCAAATATATAATTGCTGGATATAATTGAAAAAATTATTTCGATACAAATTTCTATTTATATCTCTATAATTTATAGAATTCAATCGAATAGAAGTTGATTGAATTCTTAATTATAATATTGTTAATTTTTAATTTAGTTAATAATTTTAATTTATATATCTCTATATAATAATCTTAATAATCTTAATCTTAATATCTCTAGTCAATCACACTATCTTCATAAGATTTTTTTCACAATTTTCAAAAGAAGAAATAACAAATAATTCATAATAAATCAAGTTTTATATTGAATTATGCATTTTAATTTTAAATAATTTAAATTCACTGCACCAATAATTCTATGTATAGATTTCTACATATAAAAAGATTAATATAAATTAAAGCCAAATCGCTTTTGTGAGAAAACTACTATAATTAAAATTACAATATCATATATATATATATATATATATATATATATATATGATATATATAATTACTGTTATAAAAATTACTATGAACATTTTTGTCAATGTATATATACTATTATATTTCAATTTAATAGTCTTTAATATTTTTAATACTTGAAATAAAATTGAGTTCTGGAAATTTTTTTTTTATCGATATTTTTTTTTATCGATGAATTGTGCAAATTATACAACTCAAACTTAAACAAATCGTAATTTTAATTTTAGATATGATACATTACATTAAAACCCCAATTAAAATTGAATTTGAATATAGAAAAAAAATATTTAATTGACAAATTTATAACTATTTTTAGAATACAATATTTCCAAGGTAACGCCAATTATTAAAAGTAAATATCATATTATTTTCATAACATTATATTTGCAATCATAGATGAAATATATGTATTAGAGAGTGAAAAGGAATATCCAAATCTATTTGAATTATCATTATAAATAATATTAATAAAATGGTTATTGACCATTGTTATTATATATATATATATATATATATATATATATGTGAGTGTGTGTGTATGTGTGTGTAATTGAACTTCATATTGTTTCAAATACATTCTATAACAGTTCATAAAATTACTCGTAAACACTGTCTGTATAAGCTATAACATAAATATTTATCTATCTTCGAAAATAATTGAAAGTGGTTTCATAATATTAAGAGAAGAGTCAATATTTTATATGAAATTATATAAAAAGATAGTGTCGAATAATTTCATAATATATTAAAGATAAATAATTATTGAAAGACCTTTTATTCTGAATTTTGATATTTAGAAAGTACATGAAGCTAGCGGTCTGATTCAAAGTCTTGGATGTAGTTTTAAAGTAAAAGCTTTAGTTATTTAATTTGGATATGTAATTATATATTTAAAAATTTTTGTCCTCTTATATAATATATTCTTTCTTTCATTGCAATATTTGTTCAATAATTTCAACTATGAAAACTAATTTTTATTATGAAAATTTATTATAAAAATTATAATAATAATTAGTTTTCATAGTTAAAGTTATTGAACAAATTTTGAAAGAATAATTAATTGCAATACATATTCATTTGATTTACTTAAAAATAGCAAAATATCAATATGAAAAATCGGGCACGTTATTTTTAGCTATTTAATTATATACATTTAGTCTTAAAACTTTTACTAGCCACGTTATGATTCATTATAATAGTGGTAAAAAAATTTATATGTAAATTCAATCTACAAAAATTCCTTAACAATACGATAAATAGCGGAGCCAGCGCACTCTTACGGTTATTACACACACGTTCCACTGCATGGAAAACCGGTTGGGTAACTTTTTTTTATGGACGTTAAATTGCGGAAGTTATTTCATTATATTCGTATGGAGGAACACTTTAGATATTTTGCTTTCATTCATAGGAGATGAAGCTAATAATAACGAATTTATAATTTACACAAAATAAAGATTAAATTATGTAAATTCAATTATTACATGTGCTATGTTCAATAGTGATTTGTATTAAATTGTGAGATAATATTACAGAAAATTTAACACAGCATTGATTTATAACTACTTTAGTTCAAATAAGTATTTAAATTTCTATGGAATGACAAATTTATGAAGAAGTCTTTGATCGTTCGTATTATATATTACAATGATCCAAGATTAATATTATATTAATAGTATAAGATTTGAATATTATAATTAAAAAGTTTATAATATAGCGTATATCTTTAATAAACTTTGCTTATAATTCTAAAACCAGTATTTAACTACTTTAAACTATAAGTAATATATATAAGTAATATAAGGTTTACATATTAATATATTTTTAATAACAATTTCGCAAAATTAATTAAACAGAATTTATATAAATATAAACATTTTGAATGATATTTTTATTTGAAGATCAATTATAAATATTATATTTTTAATTTTTTCATCATTTTTGTTACTTATAGTAATATATAAAAGAGGAATAAAAACAACTTATTTTCATAAGAATACTAAATAATATAGAATATATTCGGTATATATTGTTTTCACGTACACACTTTATATTAAGAAATATTATAAATTAATGTTAATATTATTTAGAAATTATTTTTTATCGTTTACGTAAAAATATACGTTAATGGTTTTTAATTTTAGTATAATATATCGTTAAAAATAAACATCTAGGTAGTACAAACCTTAATTGAATTCCAAGGGAACAAGATATTTGAATTTAAATAAACTTTCAATGTTAAGTATAATTTGAGACTACATAAAATATATTAATATTAAATGAAATAATTAAAAAGATTATAAAGCTTACATAAATTTGGCCGGTGTAATACATTTTTTAAGAGGAGATATTTAAATGT